CTCCCGTGGCGGGGCCGCGCTGCGGCCAGCAGAGGGCAGAATGCGCCCGGTCCGCCCGCGGGCCCCGCGGCGGGCTCTGCGCCTCCCGGCTCTGCACACCGGAGCCTGCCCGGCTCGACTGCCCGCAGCCGCCGCGGCCGCGCCCCCGCCCCAGACGCCGGGAGAAGACGGCCCAGGCTCAGGCCCAGACCCAACTTCGGGGGTCAAGGTCTGGGGTTTCTAGGCTGAGCAGAGACAGGAGGCCTAAGAGAGAAATTTCACATCCACACCCACCTGGATACATACACACAAAGGCGCTGAAAATTCGCCGAGACACAAAGCCACACACACACACGCTCCTGGGAGACACGCGAGCACGCAGAATCCTTCGGAAACTCGGAGACATGCACAGACACAAAGGTGACACCGAGGTGCACATACACAGAAAAGGATCCCAGACTACACGGAGGCCGACACACACAAAGATGTGGGCGCCGCAGAGAGTGACACAGACACCCAGGGATACCCACAAAGACGTACAAAAACACACAAGATTCAATGGCAAGGTAGGACACGCAGATCCACACACGCGGGTGCAGGGGAGTTGGACACGGATCCACACACGCGGAGCTCGGCAAGTCCCAGGGCCTCAGGAACACTGTGTGTGCACAGAGCCTCGGGTGCACACGGACCCGAGAGCCTCGGAGGCGGGGGCGCCGACACGCTCAGCCACACACAGATACCCACCGACACTCTCGCAGGTACTGGGGTGGGGCGGAGCCTGGAATCCTCCACAAAGCCGGGCCCCTCCGCGGGGCCCCGCAGCACAGGGGGCCACTTCTGACCAAGCGCCCCGCTGGCTCCAAATCCGATCCGCCCTCTCGCCTCCAGCGGGGTCAGGGGACCCGCCTCTCGTGCCCTCCGCCCCCGCCCCGCTCCGCGCCGCTGCTCCGCTGCGGGAGGGGCCCGGGCTGCCCCGCAGCGGCTCTCGGGGGTCAGCCGGCGCCCCTGCTCCGAGAGGTGCTCATCAGTTGGGACTCGCCCTGCCTCTGGCAGCAGGCGCGAATGCCAGGCCGGGTAGGTGCCAGGCCCGCGGATGCTGGAGTGCGCTGCTCCGTCTTGGCGGCCCTTTGCTCTCAGGTGCTAGGCCCGCTTTGCCCAGACTGACCAGGGCACTGTCCCTGACCCGTGGGGCTAACCGACCCCTGGCTGTGTCCCTCGGCCGCCAAAGCGCGCCCATCCCATCGGAAAACTCGATTTCCTTCAAGCGGCCGAACACATGTCATCCTGGGCCTTCAGCCCCTGATCCTGGGACATCCCTCCCTCCCCGCGACCCTCATCCCCAAGTCCGGGAGGCCTGGCTCCCGCCGGATACCCCTGCCTCTGCTCAAGACCCTTCCGCACTCTGGGGGTCATCCAAACGCTCATCGCCCAAACTCAGGCCTGACCTTCCTCGCCTGCCCCCGGTCCCCCTTCCTACCCGGATCCAACATCCCTTTCGCTCACTCCTCCGCCCGATCTCCGCGGGCTGGAGCATTCCCGACCGACTCCTCACTCCAGCCCGAGGCCCGCACCCCGCTCTGGGCCCGCACCCGCTTTGGCGAGTCGGAGGCCAGCAGTCCTCCCCTTCTCGATCCCGACAGCCCGCTCTCTACGCAGACCAAGCAGCCCCGGGCAGACGCCGCAGCCCGGGGGACGCCAGCTCAGCCCCTGCGACCTACCTCGGTCGACGTCGGGGTCCGCGGGCGGCCGCTCGCGGCCGGCGCCGTCCCCTGACAGAGCTGCTGCGCTCCCCGTCGTCCACGCACTCTGGCCTCACTCGGGGCCACTCCTCTTAGCGCGGGAGCTTTACAAAATATTAATAATAAAGAAGGCAAGAAAGAAAAAAAGAAAGGCTTCATTCCCCAACTCCCAGATCAATTTTTCAAGGGGGTGGGGCAGAGAGATTTGTTTCGAAGGAGATCCAAACTTCTGCAGGGGCCAGCGGGGCTGCTGGCCGGGCGGGGCGCCGGGGCCCGCGATCCGGGCCAGGCGCCGCGCGGGGCGCAAGCTGGGGGCGCGGGGAGCCCTCCCGCGGGGGGGCGGCGACGGCACTATTTGACGTGGAGCCTCCGGCTCATCCCGGCGCAGGGATACGAGGCGCACCAATGAGTTCAAATGTCAGGAAGTTTGAGGAGGGGTGAGGCGGCTCCCGGCCGGAGTATCC